ATATATATATAATATATATAATATATATAGTATATAATTACATTTTTATACGATATAGAAATATATAATTATACATGTATAATAAAATTAAATAAATATTCATTGCACAAGCAGATATAAGCGGATGCAACTGTAATTTTTTTTCCATAGTTAACAGCGTCGACAATTTTATGATAACTGCTTATTAAAATGCGTATGCAACGCTTACTAATTAGTATAATCACGAACGTGTTGACGTATACAAAAATCGTATGAAAGATTGATGCACCGCGAGCAATAAAAAGCAAATAAGAAATTTAAGATATATGAAAAATTGATGGTGCGCCGTGTGTAAAGAGATATTTTTTGCTTTTGATTACATTCTTGACTGTGATTATGATTTTCCACGCGCGGATTCGAAATCAAGTTTTATCTGCATAGTAGATTTATAAAAAATAAAATTATAAATTATACAACACATAACTAGGTTTAATTAACTGCGAAGACGAATAATATCAAGTAGATTAAATTACGCAAGAAATTACGCAAAAAAAGAAGTGTATTTTCAGATCAACTTCAAATCAAGTTTAAATTCATTCACTTCATTTATTGATTTAATCTGCTGAAATGTGCTGATCAAAATAATCACCTGTAGCAGAGAAAACGCACGAATGTGGAAATTATTATTACGACTTTACGATTTCCTCAAACCTCAAAATAGACCTGCTTAGTTCACCTAGCATAAAACATTCATCTAATATTTTTGGAAGAAAATATAAAAGCGAAATATCTATTTTTAAAAACATATAAATGAGATTTTAGATGTCTAAAATTTTCATAGTTTACTCAACCGAGAGCAACGCTCCAATTGCTACGCTGTAATATTTATGTCACACATTCTCTATGTTTCTATTATTAATTTATGTATCTGAATATACTCGACTTTGTCTATTTCCTGCTCGTTTCCATACGATTATGTCTCTAGATTTGAATTAAAGATGCAGATAAAAACTATGATAAAAACTTCTTCATTACTTACGCAGACAATTTACATTTAAAAAACATTTATAAATAGCTGAAACATGCTTTATGACGCATAAAAATATTAAATAGACATTATTAATGTTAAATATATGTTATTATCATTGAAATATCTTAAATATATGTTTATTATCATTAAAATATAAAAACGATATTTCCAACTACTAGATAAATTAAAACATTAGTTAATTAAGTAAAAAACTAATTAAAAAATCGTTTAATATGGCCATTATAAATCAATTAAGAGAAACAATCCTATCTTCAGTCAAAGTGGATCTTACTTAATTGGAGACGTTATAAATTTTTATATTTTTTTGTGAACATCTTTTTCTAACATTTATTAAATAGTTTAACAAACGTATTAATTTTACTTTTTAATTTATATGTTTAATGTACGATTTATAACGTTCATTAAATTTTTATTGCACAGCTTCTAACTTTATATTTTAGAACATGTGTTGCTTATTTAAACGATTTTCATTGTAATTGCACCAATCATCCCGAGACCGATGCCGCTAATTGCGTCAGAAATCGAAAGGCGTATCAAAGCATATCAAAAGCATTTACCTGGTTCGTCCAGCACGTCGTCATCGTTGCCCGTCTTAATCCGGATTGCAGACTCTGATCCGATACATCGCGTAGAAATTCCGTTGGACGTTCGTGCCGCGGACGTTGCGATTGCCAGTGGATCGCCGATGCACGCTGACGTTCTCAGGTACCATGGTGAGAGGACGGCCAAGTGCGCGAGGCGAGGTCGGCGAGGATGCAACGCCGCCCGGGTGCAGAGCGCGCTCCTCGCTACAATCGCGAGATTCCTCTCGATCTCCTCGCGGTCGTCGCGCCGAAAATATGTTCCTGTTTTACTCGCGCGCGTCCCGATTCACCCGTGAAAATTCACCATCGTTGACGACACAGTACACACCTCGTCCTAGCCATTGATTTTCCCTTTAGAGCTCGCCGCAGATCTAAAAACGCTCCAACCCCTCAAGTGATACACGCGCCGATAGATGCAACCTAAACGTAGCCGCGAATGCCGCCTGCGCGCGTCACGTTTCGATTTTTAGACACCTAGCGACATCCGTCGGCGAGATTTGGTATCTTTTCTAATTTTAATTTAATTTTGGATGCCGAATGATGATAAAACAGATTATTCAAATATTTATCGACTCTCGCGGGAAGTCTTTTAATGTTTGATAAAGAGTGGTCGAGATGACGTTGCTTATAATTTATAAATAAAAGGAAAAGATACAAATTTATATTAATTATTGTTATATAAATAAGATAGACTTAGCTAAATATCTTTCATTTTATTTACTTAATTTTTTTGATTTTAATAACGTTTATTATAAACTGATCCTATTGCCCGTATTCATAATTAGGCCTTATATTTAAGGTTTTTTTAAATTTATTTTCTCTATCTAGATACTCTACGAATTATTTTATTGGCTACTGAGCATCTAAAGATAAATTTAAGGAAACCTTAAGGTCCTACCAAGGTCTGACTATGAATACGGTCATATATTCTCAAGTAGCAATTTTCTGATTTAAACTGAGAAAAAAAAAGTCGAAATATTTGCAAACAAATGTTACACGTTGCGATTTCTCCGATATTTATTGATCATAAACAATTTAATTGCGCAATGACAAAATATACATTATGTAAAATTTATCTCCATAGTTGTAAAAAAAAATTAAATAGATGATTTATTTGCTAAGAATAAAATTTTATTTTATCATATTTAAATAAGGATCATTTATTTCAGTGAAATAAAATTCATATTTTATAAATTTAAATTTATGTATCTTAATTTTTTTAAAACAAGGTTTAATTATCTTTTTCTCAACTTACTAATTGTAAATTTAGTTTCAGTACAAATCCAAATAACGGCATGTATCTATATAGATATACTTGTAGACTGTCAGAATATCAGGCTTAGCTTGATTCCAAAGTTATTTTCTCTCTCATCTTTTTCTAATAAAAAAATACATAAGTCTTTAAATTATGAATTAAAATATAAAATTGTAATTCGCGATTGCACAAAACGCATTTGAATAAAGTTAAAGAGTAATTAAAAATATTGGGGCTCCAATATTTCGCTAATATTGCCTATACATTGACTTTCCAATATTGGAAAACTAATATTGGGACCCAATGTTGGTCCAACATTGGAAAATAAATATTGGCCCAATATTTTTTTTTTTGCGAGAAGAGGAGAATAATGTTCACAAAGCCCGTCATCCGGGATGCTCGCAAGGGGAAGACTTAACCGGATGACGAGCCGCCAATCACAGTTGTTCCATTCTTCCGAAGAACAGCTATAATTGGCCAATTTCATTACTACGGATGTTATTAAACTCGATTACGAGTACCGTGTAAATGTAATCAGTGGCTCACGCCATTCTTAGCGTCGAGCCACTACCAGTCTCTAGATATTTAATCGATAAAAATGATACATCAATGAAAACAAAGGATAAAAAATTCGGTTTTGATTGCATAACACTATTATTTTAATAAAATCTTAAAACTGTTAAGAATTAGGCGGCGTCAGCTTCACGCGCTAATTAATAACATATTATCGTTATTGTTATAGAAAGAAGTCGTTATTGTTATAAAAATTAGTAGGTTTCTCATTACAAAATTTAATTATTCGAGCCAATTTTGATTTCTGTCAATCACAACGTCAAACCCTGATGTGGCTTATATATCCCTTGTCGCATTTGCATACGTTATATTTACACGGGCAAGGATCTTTTCTATGATGGTACAATAGTCGCGTCAGCCGGGCTTCTCTAGACTGGTTTTTTTTCCGGCATTTCGTCGCATTGACGGGACCGGATTTAAAGGGCCGCTTTTGAAATTTTATCTAGTCCTTCTTCGTCGTTCGCCAGACGGCCGGCGCGAAACACGAACTGGAATGCAGGTGCACATCCAATGTATTTCAATGTGTATCTGTATACATGTACGTATATGCAGGAAAGCAGGTAGAATATTTTCGAAGATTAGCTCTCTGCCGAGGAACGAGCGTGAAGAAGTAACACCTGCCGTGCGGTACAGTCTGTGAGATCGACGGACGTCGATGATTTATAAGTTGGTAAAGGAAGAAAGAAAAAAAAAAGGAGAGAGAGAGAGAGAGTGGGGGGAAAGCGTTTAACTTGGACATGAATAACGAAACAAAGGGATTTTTAGAAATTTTACTTCTGAAATCATGCGATTTCCGTCTCGAGATGTAATCGAGAGAATGCATCTTCAATCTTGCACCCGTCGCGTTGCCAACAATATCCTAGTCACACAAACTAAAAGTAAAATAACATCAAAGTTACAATTTCGTATTCAACAATATAAATGGAATATAACATAACATTTTGAGCGTAAGAAGTGACGAAATAAGACTTTTTAATATTAACAATAAATAAGGAAAAATACACTGGCAATGAGAGTGAAGTGCAATAATTGGAGCGCAACAAAATTATCAGTAATTTATTAACATTTTGATTTTTTATTGACTTGTGTTCTTTGGGCATCATGAAGAAGTCTTCCAAACAATGCGCGTTGTCTGAGAAGCTACCTATTTTTGCCTGCAGAATTTTACTGACAAGGGAAGCGCGTTTTTTCGCCATCCGACACGCGTAGATGCGTCGATGGGAATTATGCAGAAATTATGCTGTTGCTTTCCACTTGATGATCATAAAGATACTAACGCTTCCTTGGATTACAGCATTTAGTTATCGTTACACATTGGGCCTAATAGTGTTTTCCGCTGAAAAGTCAGACGGCCGGGAAGTCTCACGGGAAACTCCACAAAGGACCAAGATTGTTAGAAATTTTTCTGTGAATGTCGAGATATGCGCTAAAGATATTCAGAAAAAAATCCAGATTTGTATCTGTCGACAACCTCGGAAAAGCGCATTTTTGTCGCTATCATGAATTTGGATCTCTAATCTCTGAAATCGTAAAGCATAAATGATAATTTATAATAGTTTTACTGTATAACTTAAAAAATATTTTGATACTTTTTAAAACTATAATATATTCTCTTCGAGATGTGCATTTTAGTATAAATATAAGTAAATTTATTTAATGTAAAATGAATTTATTTAAATATAAGTAAATTTATTTAAAAATAAATCTGTCTTTTTTTCACATATATTGCTTGTACTTTTTGCATTCAGAATCTTCGCTTTCTCTTTCTTCAATATTCGAATATTTATTTTGTTTTAAATGCAAAAATTTAAAAGGATTTCAAACAACGTAAACAGGTCCTAATATAATATTAAATGAGGCTGCGCTCAGAAATTTCGGGAGCATCTAAGTTTCATTTTATTCTTGTAATATTCGGTGAATAATAAGAATAAAATAATATTTGGTTTGCCAGAGATGTCCAGGATTTCCGGGAAAGTCCTGAAATTCATCGGCTACCGATCTTGTATCTAATGATTGAAGATTTTTCTAAATCTTTCAAGAGAAAAAAACTTTGAATAAATTTATCATATCCCAGTTTTCAACTCGCTTTTCTACCTTAAAAAAAGTTGTATCAGTTTTAAAATGTTATAAAAAAATGATCAGATTAATAGTTTATATAAGAAAAACTAATTAAAAATGTAATCCATTTTTTAATCATCGCCTCAGACATGTCCTGGAAATGTTGATGTTAGATTTGGCAATCCTAGAGTGCACCCAGGTGAAATTTCTGAACAAAGCTTAGATGTAAATCAAAAATTAAAATAAAATTAATTAATTTTTTAATTTTTAATTTTTAATTTAAATTACATTTAATTTACATTTTTATAAAATGTAAATGTAAAGAATAAAAAGCGGAAACAAATTATCTCATTATCTCAATTTGCACTTCGTGAATCAAATTACAAATCACATCAGTCAGAATCTGCATCTGATCGTCATTTCCTCGATTATTAAGCGGGTATAGAGCCTGAACGAGCGGAGCCCTACGTGCCGTCCTCCCAGGTTCTCCCACGTCTTCGTAGCTCACGCTTTAACCCTCTCTTTTCGCGAGCCAATCGGGAGATCGCGTCATCACGGCGCAGTTCCCGCGCTGGGCCTCACGGGGGCCCGGCGTCGTCCGCAATCACTTCAAGAATCAAGTTCCGCGAGCAGCCGCCATGTTGTTAGTACGTGACTCCGAATTGCTCCGAACACGGCTCGTGCAGGTCGGGGCCCATATGAGTATCGACGAAACATCGACATCGACCTGATGAATCACTCATGCGCCGATGTTATGATTTGTTGAGACTCATAACGAGTGAGTTTCAATAATGAGTTCTAAAAGTCGTGATCATCGGATACTTCAGCAAAATCATTGCGTTGATCGACCCTAGAAGGAATTAAAAATCAATCGTTATGAGAGAGTCATCAAGAATAATTTGAATTACACAGGTAAAATAAAATTACAAGGATATAACTACATTGAATCGTAAAATAACGATAATAAGAGATTCATTGATTAATTATATTTATATTAATAAACATTGGAAATTAACAGAAGAATGAACCTGTTTATTGGCACAATATTTGCATAATATTAATCTAATATTGGCAATATATCCCAACGTTTAACCAATTAACGTATCGCCAATAAATTGCTAAGTAAGAGCAGGAAGGAGGACAGCAATTTTGAGTCAAACTTCGAAAATAATAAAAGTAATAGATTGAAGGTATCATACATCAGAAAATGAACTCTCAACGACAATAATAACAACGATTGTATGAGGAAACGCGTTGCGCAAGGAGATTGTTGAAGATGACTCAACGCGGGCCCGGGCGGGTGAAGACGGCACTGGGCATCCCGTGAAATGCGGCCCGCCGGCGAGAAAAACGGGGACCCGGCGTGCGGCGGCCGTCGAGGAGCGAGCGGGCCAGGGCATTGCCAGCACGGAGTGCAGCCACGGCGGTCGTGCTGTGGCGACCGCTAAGTCGTACTCGCGAGTACATGGAGGACCCCGGACGTGCGCCCGGACTTCGACGAGTTCGACGCGCAGATCGGGTGACAGCGCGGAATGCGCATCTCCTATGAGGCCGCGGGCCAGCCAGGGCGTGCAAGGGGACAAAGGGGAACAGGGAGCGAAAGCCAGGTGAAACGACGACGGCGACGGCGTCTCGCGGACACGTAGCAGGCTTCCTTCCGTCGACTCGACATCTTTCACGCCGTCTGCGACGGTGACAGATTACGCGGATCGGAATTGCTCCGGTCTCTGAGTGGCGAACGATCTGTGTTTCTGGAAGCCAAGGTAACAAGACAGTGCATGGACAGGGCGGCGTGTTTGTTCTTCCTGTGAAGCAAGAGGTGAGGCACGTGAAGGTGTGACGCACACTCTGCAAATCCAAGTGTGTAAAAAATGACTTCAATTATATACCTATGTGTGTTATTTAATTTTCCGTGTACAAATGACACTATACTACACTATACATTTAAATGTAAACGAAGTATTTCAGACCGTAATGTGAATGCACGACAAATAGAAAATAAAAATTCTAAACGATTAAACTGGATCTTTAGTGCTTAAATAAATTCGATTTGAATTTATATACTTATATCTAATCCTGTAAACTCTTCGAATTTAATTTTCAGTGAACCGCAATTATTCTAATAGAACTGGAATAGTAGTATCAATCATTAAATATTGACAAGTAATTTAATAATATTGTTGCTCATGGACATCTTAGAAAGATCTTAATAATCTGATGCTGATAGTATCTTAAAACCTATTAATAATTTTAAATGTGTTGATTCATATTTGTATGTATTATTTTTACACGAAAAACTAACACATATATTGAAGCTACTTTTTACACGTTTGGATTTGTAGTGCAAATGCTGATAAAAAGAGATTGCAAACTTGATCTACATCCAATAGTATTCGAGTGCATCCGAGGTGAAGGTGAAGAACGCGTTAGACGAAAATTGATGTATCTTTGCTGCGAACGAGGATAAGAGGAATATA